CCAGAGCCCAGCAGGTCGAGGTTAAGGTGGCCGGAAGCGGCCACTGCACTCCAGTCTGGGCGACAGTTTGAGACTCCAACTCAAAAAAAAAAAAAAAAAAAAGATGAGACAAACAGAATACCAGACAACAACTGCATGACAGTTGGAAGAGAATAACCATAACTTAGTGTCTGCAGTCCTTACATCGTATGGAGGTTGAGGGGTGCCAAGTAACTGATTAAATTAAACTGGCTTTAAATATGCAGGATCAAACTGGACAAGTAACCACTAAAAGGAGATAAACAGAAGGTATAACTCCCAAGGCCTTAGAGCAAAAGCAGAATCAGAAAACTGACAAGCAAGAATGCAGAGGTCGGCAAACAAGGGGCTCACGGCCAAACCCTGCCCACCCCACCTCTTTTTGTCGGTGAAGTTCTCCTGGGACACCGCCCTGCCAGTTACGTTTCACCCATGGCTGCCTTAGCTGCAAAGGCAGAGCTGAGCAGCTGCAACGGGCCGGCCGGCCCACGAAGCCTGAAACACTCTGGCCTGCTGCAGAAGGCGACTGACCTCAGCGGCCAGCACCACACAGCAGACACAAGGGTTACTGCGGGCTGCAAGGCAACACCCCCCTTCGGGGCTGCAGGGTTCAGGGAAACAACATGAGCGCAGGCGCCCAGTGCAGGAATATTCGCGAACCGTTCCCTGGGCTCAGCCGCATACGCTCTCTAGGGTGCAGCTCCCAGATCCCCCTTCCCAAAAGAGAAGAGCAGCCCCTTCCGCCCGACACGGATGGACAGGCTGTGAGGCCAGCGCTCGCTCACAAAGCGAAGCCACAGCTTCGCCACAGGAGCTGCGTGACCTCGGTGCGATCCCAGTTCTTATTCAGGCCTCCCAGGCTTTACAATGTAGTGTGTACGCGTGTGGGGTGTGTGTGTGTGTGTGTGTGTGTGTGTGTGTGTGTGTGTGTGTGTGTGTGAGAGAGAGAGAGAGAGAGAGAGAGAGAGAGAGAGAGAGAGATATCATCCCGTGAAGGTCTGTGCACCCACCCACCACCAGCCAAGACACAGCACAGTCAGATGACCACAGGGATCTCGCTCTGACCTTTCAAGACCCACCCTGCCCTGCCCGGGCGAGCACTAATCTTTGGCATTTCAAGAACGATGAATACACAGAATCATTCCGTGCACGGCCACCGGGGTTGGCTTTGGTCACCCAGCACAGTCCCCTGGCGACCCACCCCAGCTGCTGTATCAGCAGTCTGCTTCCTTTCGATGCTGAGCAGAGTCCTGCGGTGTGGCGCGCCACAGTCTGCCTGACCTGCTGCAGGAAAGACATGCGGGTTGTTCCAGTGTTTAGCTCCTTTTGACTTTTCTTTGGAGACAGGGTCTCATTCTGTCACCTAGACTGGAGTGCAGTGGCGCAATCAGGGCTCACGGCAGCCTCCAACTCCTGGGCTCGAGTGACGCTCCCACCTCGGCCTCCTGAATAGCTAGAACTACAGGCACATGCCACCACACCTGGTAACTTTTTTAAAAACATTTTTTGGTAGAGAAGGGGGTCTCACTACATTGCTCAGGCTGGCCTTGAACTCCTACCCTACTTCAAGTGATCCTCGCAAAGCATTGGGATTACAGCATGAGCCACTGCACCCAGCCCAGGGTTTAGCTTTCACAAACAGAAGTGCTGCGAACGTTTCTGCAAGGGTTTTGGGTGAGCGTAAATCTTTACTTCTCTGGGATGAACGCCCAGGAGCGCGAGTGCTGGGTGGCAGGGAAGTTGCACGCTTAGTCTGTAAGGACCTGCCAAACTGTTTTCCAGAGGGGCCATGCCCTGTCCTGCCCCATCAGCAGTGGGGAGGGATCCAGGTCCCCTGCAGCACATTCAGGGTTATTCTGACATCTTTATTTAGCCACGTACAAGATACAGTTACATAGAAAGTTAAAAGATTAAAATAACACTGAAGAGGAATCCATGCTTGGTGGAAAGTGAAATACAGAAACGCAAAAAAGGGAAATGAAGTCTTGTTTCTTATCTTGGAAGAAAAAAAAAAGCAACATCGCTGTTTATTCCTAACTCAATGTAGCCAGGTTGCAGATAGCATGTGGCAGATGGCTTTAACCTGACCCACAGGCCTCATTCTGGGATGAACCCTTCCCACCCTGGGTACAGCAGTGCCTGGGCCTCCACTGACACCGCTAGGGTCCTTGGCTCCAGAGGATCACTTCGGGCTCTGCAAGACAACCTCGGTGCTTAAAAAACAGACAGCCGCAGCCTCGGCCAGAGAAAGCACTCAGGGCCCTTTCCCCCGCGGGAGCCACAAGTCGACACACCAGGACAGGTGAGGCCAGGGCCGTGGAGCAGCTGAGCACGTGCACGTGAGGAGTGTCAGCGCACTCCCTCCAGAACAGGCCTTCTTCCCTGTGCCCAGGTCTTGCAGAACCTCTGGCAGCCGAGGAAAGCCTACAGACCCCTCTTGGAACAACGTTTTTATTTATTTATTTATTTTGAGTTGGAGTCTCACTCTGTCGCCCAGACTGGAGTGCAGTGGCCGCTCCTGGCCACCGCAGCCTCGCCCTGCTGGGCTCTGGCGATCCTTCCGCCTCAGCTTTCCGAGTAGCTGGAACTACAGGCGTGCGCTACCATGCCCGGCTGATTTTTTAAATTTATTGTGGAGATGAGGACTCGCCAAGTTGTCCAGGCAGGTCTCGAACCCGCGGGCTGAGGCAATCCACTCACCTCGGCCTCCTAAGGCACGGGATTACAGGCTGAGCCACCGAGCCTGGCCAGAACGTTTTTAAATGCATGCTATAAAATATAGAGCGTGACAATGCGAAACACCAAAATGTTTTGAAAAACAAATGTATCGCACAGCAACACATAATGTCTCAGGCAGTGATGGACATAACCACATCTCAAGGTGTCTGTGACTACCAAGTGGAAAGTCTGATTTCTTAGTGGCAAAGTCCTAAGTCCTGTTGACCCCATGGGCTCATTCCCACATTAATAATGGAAAGAAATGCTCAATTTCCAGTAAAATTTAGTGGAAATAAAGACGCAGCTTTCTTCCTACCCAAGTTTGTGGAGTCCTGAATTTCACAGAACCAGGAAGTACAGGACCAGGCCTCTCCCTAAGAGACCATCCCAGACTGCCCCTCAGTCTCGGGTCTGAGGGAAGGAAGCTGCCCAGGGTGGGACAGAGGCAGAGGTGGGGGCCCAGACCCCCAATGAGGCCCTGTGGAAAGGGTCCACGGGTTTGGAGCCTGTTCTAGGCTGCTGAGGAGGAATGCAGACAGGCAGCCCCTGGGGTCTGGACCTGCTAGGGCATTCACTCCCTCAGGACGGGGGGGCCAGGGAACACTGAACCAAGAGAAATTCTCCTTGAGCGCTAAATATAAGACCAGGCGTGGTGGCTCAAGCCTGTAATCCCAGCACTTTGGTAGGCCACGGGTTCGAGACCAGCCTGGGCAACTTGACGAGACCTCATCTCTACAATAAATCAAAAAATTAGCCTGGCTACTTGGAAGGCTGAGGCGGAAGGATCACCTGAGCCCAGCGGGTTGATGCTGGGGTAGCTGTAACTATGCCACTGCACTCCAGCCTGGGCGATGGAGTAAGACTCCAACTCAAAAAAAAAAAAAGAGCTAAATATACCATCACCTGCCCTGTCCACCTGGGAGTAACTTCAGCCACTTTGTTTCAGATTCCCATGCTTCCTGCTTCAATCCTCAGGGGTAGGTGGGAGGAAACCCAAGTTGGTGCTAAGCGTCTAAGGAGCATCCAGCATGTTTCCGGATGGATCTGCCCACCTTCGTTAATGCAAAGGCCACCGTCCCGTCGTCCTCAGTGGACAGATCAAGCAGCTTCTGGTAAAATGCTTCATCGTAAGGCCCATCTATTTGCAAGGTTTTTCTGAAGAAGAAAGAACAGTAGAAACAGGATGGCAAAGCCCCAGAGACTGTTTCCTCAAGGCCGACTGCCTCTTCATGTTCAGTGGGGCTCTGAAGCCTCGAGGCTTCCCCAGAACCCGGCAAAGCTGGAGCCAGTGAGCCCCGGTGCTCCGCCCTCTCCCGTGCCTGACAAGTGACACTCTGGTCAGAGGCGCCAGTGAAGGCCAGTGAGGAAGGAAGAGGACCCCGGCCCCCGCCAGAAACCGCAGCGAAGGCACCACAGGTGTGACCCCCAGGACGTCGGCTCGGCCAACACTGCAACTGGGGACCCCAGGAGCAGCCGCGGCCATGGAGCAACACTGCCCTCTGCAGGCCTGGCCCTGACTCGCAGATGTGCTTTCCTTTCTGAAAACGGATATGGGACCTTCATCCTCGTTTCCTTTCTGAAAACGGATATGGGAACTGCATGCCAGAGCTGGGCCTTGGCGCCTGGGGCGAGGGCCGCCAGCCGGTGGCGTTCCCCTGGGAGGCTTGATTGATGCGCCGCCCCCGTCTCCCCTCAGGCCACCCGGGGCGGCCAGTCCTGCCTCACCTCTCCTCAGGAAACTCTTCCAGGTGCTGCTCAACCCGGTTGTACAGCGGGTAGAGGCCCTCGATGTCCAGCAGGTCCAACATCTGCACCTGGAGGGTTTTGTACAGAAGACAGCCCTTCGGTAACCCCGAGCGCTCTGGGGTGTTTTTTCCTACCGAGAACATCAGGGAAAACGAGAGCAGGTTGATTATCAAAGACGGAAAAGTGTGGAGGGACACAGGCCGGCGCAGACCACAGGGCTCACTCGGGCTCAGCCACACGGACGGTGCGTGGCAAGGACCGGGCCCGCCTGGCACTGGGGCAGACCACGTGCCCACCTCACAGAAGTGCTGGGGCTGGAACGAGCTCAGACCCCCAGGCCAGGCTCGGAGGAAAGGGCTGGATGCCCGCATGCCTAGGCTGTGCCGCACCCTCTGAACACAACTCTCCCCTCAGGATCACCACAGCCCGGAAGGCGCCTCATGACTTAGACATTCTCAACAGGCCAAGGCACAGAATTTCAAAAGATCATGACACCCCAGGTCTGCAAGACAACTAAGGGAGGACAACCCATGGCCCTGTCTGCAGAGTCTAGAGCCATGAGCCCACCGTGTGAGATGGGCAAGCTGGGCTAGCCACAGGCACGAGCTCAGAACTGGCCACACAGAGCTTTGGACAGTGGTCAAAGCCACTGAGGACCTGTTAGCGTCGAGACAGGCTAAGAAACAAAGCTCCACTCCCCATTCACAGTCCTCTGACCCCTGCTGTGTACCAGCTGCCCAGGGAGCTTGCGAGCACCACGCCCCAGACCATCTCCTCCTACCCTTGAAGGGAGCAGCCATCTCCCAAAAAGAACCAAACTAAGGAACCTGGTGAAGATGGGGCAGGAACACGTCTGCAGTGGAGCAGCTTCAGCCACCTGCAGATCCACGGTGGGGGGGGGGGGCACTACACACAGATGACGCTTGTTTGCCAAAATGGGCTCTCCAGGCTTCAAGCCAGCAGGACACGCGTGGCCACATGAGACATGGAGGAAATGGGAGGAAAAGCCTACATGCCCAACTAGAGGAGATTTCCTAAAATTATGGGATATCTGTGCAGCAGAACGCCTAACTGTGGTCAGTGAAAGCTGAATAGATGTACAGACTTGTGCTGATTAAGTAAAAAAATCAGGACAAGATAACACATGGAGTATGATCATATTGTTTTAAACACTGTGCATCCATGGGTTGTGCTTGGTTCTCTCTGTCTGCGTGTCCCAGAAGGCCTGGGGAAAAGCCCGTGTGTCACACCTGGTAACCCAGATCCCCTCAGCGACCGGCACCATCTGTATGTCCTTCCAGACAAATGTGCTTCCTTAAAAACAGTTACATGCTCCGATTATGGGCATAATTTTAATAAAATATTCTGAAATAATTAGAGATTACGTTTGTAACAAGAAGAAAAGCCCACAAAATTCATCTGTGGCAAGAAAAAAATCAGCCTGGGGGAGAGTAGAGAGCAGAGCACCAGCTTCCGGTCACACGCAAGTAGGGCTGGTTCTGTGATCCGCCCAAAGTCCTGAGTGGCCTCGGCTCACGAGCCATCACGACATGCAGAGTGGCTGGCCTGGCTCAGCTCCCGCCTGAGGAGGGCGTCCGCAGTCCACAGCCCTGCAAGTCTGTCTTCACCAGACTGGGAAGTCAGCCCTCGGCAGTCAGACCCAGACTTGAAGGTCTTCTGTGCCTCAGTTCTTCACATCTAAGAAGCCGGCTGAGAACACCTGCCCCAGGGCTGCGATGAGGCTCAAAAGAGCTGACACAGGGGAACACATTCTGTACATCACAGAGAGGACACACAAACTCACGGACAGTATTCCTGGGGAAAACCTACAGCCCAGAAGTGTCCTGCAATTTACAAACTCAGACTAAAGGCGAGAAAAGGAGCCTCCGCTGGGTGTGAGAAGCCGCGAAGCCCCATCTGGGGGGCCTGGCAGAACCCTGCGGCACCCCACACATGCCGCTGGGCCAGGTCACGCTGCCAACTCCACCTGGCTGCCCGTGGGAACTGGATGGTCCCGAGGCCCCCACCGCCTGCCTGGGGAAGGCCAGGCCCTACCTTGGCAGCGCAGGCTCCTGCTGAAAGGGCTGGCTTCACAGACACACGGGCCCCGCGGGCCGAGCCCTGGTCTCAGGGGCCCTGCCCGGCCCTTGTCGGAGCCACTGAGCAGCACCCGCGTGATGACGTGCACCAGCTCCCGGATCACGGCCCTCGTGCAGTGGGGCCCGCTGGCCAGGCCATTGGAGGGGAAGAAGAACGGCTTCAGGTGGTGTGCGAGCTCGCTCCAGTCCGCCTCGGGGCTCCGGGCGTCTCTGCAGCCATAAATCAGCTCTCCGTTCTCCAGGCAGGGAAGAGAAAGGGAGGTGTCAGCCATCAAGCCTCCAGAACACCTCAGAGCCCAGCACCGGCCAGGCGGGGTGCAGCCAAGGGCCCCGCTGGCACAGACGCGCACACACCAGCCTCTCCGGGAAGGCAGCCCTCATGTGCCCCACCTTCAACCAAGGAGCAATCCCCCAGGGCACAGAAAGGAAAAGTTCTCAAAACCTGAAGACCGGCGCCTGGCCTGACAAACACCCTCAGACAATGACCCACAGCACATTCGGAAGCTGCACAAAGTGACAGACTCCCAGAGACACCAGCCCAGTTCCCTGAGAGCTCCAACAGGCAAAGGTGAGCCTGGCGCCAGTGCTGCAGAGGAGTGTGTCCCAGGGTCAGGGCCAGGCCGCTGGGGGACTTGGGTGCTGGGTGAGTCAGGGCCAGCAGTGGGAGAAGCTGCTGGTGTCACACACATGGCAAGCTTCGCATGTAAGACTGTCCTGCCTTCCTACACCAAGCCCAGCAAAGAACCCCGTACAATGCCACCATTTAGCTCTGGACGTTCCCAGGGTGCAGGCAGGCACACTGCTGCCAGGCCAGTGGGCCTGACGCCACGACCTTTATGGAGGGCCTGTGTGGGGTGCAGGGCAAAGGCCCCTGCGCAGCGGCTGACCCCAGGAGAGTGGCGACTTCCCTTGAAACTTGCTTCCTCATCCATAAGATGGTGTGATCAGCACCTCCAGGACAGCCCCCAGCAGCCACTGTCCCTGACACACCCTGGCGTCCTCTCCACACTGGGTCTGGTCAGTGTGACCCACAAAATACAGCCCCATGAGATCAAGGCACAAAGCATCTTGTGGCTCCCGCTGTGGTGGCTGTCTCCCGAGATCACAGAGACCACACGGGGCAGCCGCAGGAGGAGGACAGAGGCGGGGCTCCGAGGCCCTGGTCCCAGCGAAGCCTCCAGTGAGACAGCCTCAAGAGGCATCTGAGCCAAACCCAGATGGGACGGGCAGCTCAGCTCCTGGCCTCAGAAGCCATGGGATGGAAAGCAGTGTGTTTCAGCGACGTTTGGGAATAACTAGGAGGCGCCAACACAGAGGAGGACAGCCCCGCTCTCAAGAGGTGTGGGTGGGCTCTCCTCCCTCACGGGTCCCGCGGCATATGCCCGCAGCATATGCTGTCTGGGCACTGTCTGAGCCCTCAGGATGACGGGACACAACTGAGACCACTGCTGGCCACATCGGGCAGGAGGCAGGGAGGGTAAGCCGGCTAAGGAAGGCAGGCGGGGGCGGTGGGCCGAGGGCAGGAGAGGGTCGTTTGGGCCCCCAGGGAAGCTGGTCCCACACCTCCAGGCTCAGGGGCCACTGAGGGACTGCTCCCAGCAAAAGGCCTCTCCTATCAGGGTCCAGGTTCTGGACAGGAAGGGCAGTGTGGGATTGGGATGCGGGTGGGTGGCGTTTTACACCAACAAATACAGCCCCTCCCAAGACCTCAGGTGGTATTCACAGAGCCATCGCCTGGCCACAGAGCAGTGGCCCTGTGTCAAACAGTGCCTATTCCCCGCAAGCTCCCATCAGCTCTCAACACAGGTGTCTGTGTGGGGTCACCGGCCATGACCCACCCAGCTTCTCCAGCCCGGAACTGCAGGGCGTCAGGAGTTTTCTGCCTCGCTGGGTTAGACTACTAGACCAGACAAGGCTGGTAGGAAAGCTGATGGGACACATGAAAGATGATGTGCACAGATGCTGCCCAGTCATGTTAAAAAGCCGTTCTGCGTCCTTTCTCTTAACTCATCTCCTTTGAAACTGTTTGCTTATCCTCAGGGGTTTTTTGTGCTGATTTTCACAGAAACAGCAGACAGCCAGGGTCCCGGAGTCCCATGCCCCACGGACCTTAGTGTGGGCCTGACAAGGTCAGAAAAGGGTCCACTTGGAATAAGATGCCAGTCTCACCACAGCTTCAAATAAATCCCCAGATGAAAGGGAATTTACATCCAGGATTTAAACATCAAGTTCCATAAGTCCTTTGAAGAGTTAAAATAAAAACCGCCCAAGTCTTCCCTTCCTGGATCTGGGAAGGCAGAGGCAGACAGGGAACAAGGGGATCACTCTGACCAGCGGCCAGGCCCACGGGCTTCTAAGCCAGATCCGGGGAGCAGGTCAAGAACAGGCTGCCTGCTGCGAAGGGCACTCATGGGCAGCAGGAGAGCGGACAGGGCCTCCAGTGCACCAGCGGCCGTCGAGCCCCGTCCAGGGAGCCCAGGGCCCCATCCACAGCCCGCCTCCTCTCGCAAATGCAACACTTGCCGCAGTGGCCAGAGGCCCGTCCCCAGCTGCCGCCTGTGTGTGATGGCTCACGAGGTGAAGACGGGGCCAGAGGCGCCCACAAAGGGGCCCCTGGAGAAACCCGTCCC